CAGACAGCTCGGACTTCGCATCCGGTGCCATTCTCTCTCAGCCGGGCGCGGACCGGAAGTGGCATCCGGTCGCCTTCTTCTCCCAGAGCTTGAGTTCGGTCCAGCGCAATTACGAGATCCACGACAAGGAGATGCTTGCAATCGTCCGAGCCCTCGAGGAGTGGCGACACTTCCTCGAAGGGTCGCAGCATCCGGTTGAGATCTGGACCGATCACAAGAACCTGGAGTACTTCCGGAAGTCGCAGAACTTGAACCGGCGGCAGGCGCGGTGGTCCCTGTACCTGTCCCGGTTCGACTTCACCCTGCATCACAAGCCCGGCCGCGCGATGGGTCGACTGGACGCGCTTTCCCGGCGACCGAACCACGGTTCCGGTCGGGATAACGAGGATGTCACGCTCCTACGCCCCGATCTGTTCCACGTCCGCGCCCTGGAAGGTGTCGTCGTCGCCGGTCCGGAAATCCCGATCCTCCGGGACATCCGTGACGTGCTCTCGCACGAACCAGACCTTGAGGATCCCGTCGCCCTTGCGGCTCGCGAGCTCCTCAAGGTTCCGGGCCGCCGGTCCCGGTCTACCCGGTCGGACGAGTGGCACGTCGATGCCGGCCTGCTCTACTTCCACGGCAAGATTGTTGTCCCCCGGGACAAGGACCTTCGCCGCCGGATCTTGGAGCAGCACCATGACACCCAGGTCGCTGGTCACGCCGGCCGCTTCAAGACGTTGGAGCTTGTCTCCCGGAACTACTGGTGGCCCCAGCTGTCCCGTCACGTTGGCCGGTATGTCGCCACCTGCGATCTGTGCTGCCGGACCAAGGCACTCCAGAAGCTTCCGGTCGGGGAGCTGCACCCGACCGAGGTTCCCGAAGATCGGTGGAGCACGGTCTCGGTCGACTTCGTCGTCGAGCTCCCGGAGGCCCACGGGTACGACGCGATCATGGTCGTGGTCGATGTCCTTGGTAAGCGCGCCCACTTCATGGAGTGTCACACCCAGATCGACGCGATCGGCGCCGCCCGGTTGTACTACCGGAACGTCTGGAAACTCCATGGTGCGCCGGAAAAGTACATCTCTGACCGGGGTCCGCAATTTATTGCGGAGTTCACCACTGAGCTCTGGCGCCTTATCAGCGTCAAGCCCGCGACCTCCACGGCATACCACCCGCAGACTGATGGCCAGACCGAGCGCGTCAATCAAGAGATGGAACAGTTTATCCGCATCTTCACCAACTACATGCAGGATGACTGGGACGACCTCTTGCCGGCCGCCGAATTCGCCTACAACAACCACATCCACTCTTCCACGCAGCAAGTCCCGTTCATGACCGACACCGGCCGGCTCCCCCGGATGGGGTTCGAGCCGAACGGGCTGCGTTCGAAACTTGAGTCGGTAAACGAATTCCGCGACCAGATTGCCTCCGGTGTTTCCGAAGCCCGATCCGCGCTGGTCAAGGCCAAAGAGGAGTACAAGCGGTACTACGACCGCCAGCGCACCCCCGCGCCGGAGATCAAGGTAGGCGACCGGGTCTGGCTCGACGCGTCGGACATCCAGACAACCCGGCCGTCCCCCGGTCTCTCGCACCGACGGCTTGGCCCCTTCAAGGTCATCAAAGTCGTCGGTCGTGGTGCGTACAAGCTGGAACTCCCGCCCCGGCTCTCCCGGCTCCACCCGGTCTTTCCGGTCGTGAAGTTGGAACTCGCGGAAGACGACCCTTTCGAGGGACGGCCCGGCTACGACGAGCCGGCCCCGGTCCTCCCGGACGCACCCGGTGATGCTCCGGAATGGGAAGTCGAAGAGATCCTTGATGCAAAGGTGCGCTGGAAGTCACTCTACTTCATGGTGCGCTTCAAAGGGTACGACGACTCGCACAATCAATGGGTCAAGCACTCCGACCTCTTCGCCCCGGAAGCTGTCGCCGAGTTCTACCGGAAATACCCAGCCAAACCACGCACCATTGCCATTGCCGCCTTCGACTCCCTGCCCTTCCAGGATCCCTCCCTTCGCATCCGGTCTATGCGTCGTGGCGCCGCATTCCAAGGGGGGGGTGATGTCAGGGGAACCCCCATCCCGACCCCCATTCAGAGCCCTTCCGGCCCCCCCGGTCCTTCCGGTCGCTCTTCCGGTCACCGGCCTACCGGAACCGGTACCGGAAGCCGGCACGTGACCCGCCAGGGGGACCCCCGATGGCACCTCGCATGTGACCGAGCCCGGGACATCTGCCGATCACTCCGGTCACATGGTCTTAGCTAGTAGCTTACTTATACCCACGGCTGACGTGGGAATCCTCAGAGTTTCTTCTCTTTGGATCCCCCACGTCAGGTATGCTTCTCTGTATATTTAGCTACTGTCAATTAACCTTTGGATCCCCCACGTCAGTCCCTGAGTACCTCGGGCCTTCGTGGTTGCCCTTACACGGGGAATGTACATTCCATTTGGCAGTACTATCCTGTTGAACTGGTTACACCTGCACATACCTTTCTTAATGTATTCCTCAATCGTAGGACAGGCCCTCATGAAATGCCTGTCTTCAGAGCAGAACCCGCATTTTCCTTCTTCAAAAGCGCCTCCCAGGCCACGGTTCCCCTGCCCTTGAGGCGGAAGCAGATTTTTCTGCGCTTCTGTACTCCATCGCGGTTTCTCCGCCTGGTTCTGGTATGCCGCTCCTTGGCGATACGAAACCTCGTTGGTGCATTGAAACTGCATTTCTGTTCGTCGTGTGAGGTTAGATAAGACCGTTCTCATCTCGCGCATCGAGGCCGTGAGGTCGACCATTTCTTTCTTAATTATGGTTGTGTCTTCCTTCGTGTCTTGGTAGAACTGGCCTGGCGTCCCGTCAATTGCCCATTCTGCGGCCTTTATTACGTCGCTGATTGTATATGGGGTGTCGCTTGGCTGATCGGGCATCACAATCTGCAATCGTTGCAGAACCCGAAAGCGGAAATCGGAACATATCCCCTTCATGAACTGTTCATCACGTTCTCGGTCGGAGATTTTATTCTTTGATTTCAGGAAGTCAGATATTTGCTGGCAGTTCCTCTGGTATTCCCCGAACTCGTCTTTATTTGAAGGCGGCTTTTCTTGTCCTTTTTGGACAACCTCGCGCAGATCCGCCCACATATATAGCTTTTCTCCGTGGCACTTCACAACTCGGGAACGGTGCCACCCAAGCGGGTAACGATCGAGCAAAGATCACAGACGAGCACGGTAAAACAACACTGGAAGAAGGAAAAAGCAGCAAGCCATTATTGGAAGGGTGTCCCAATAATGGTGCTGATTCCCTTGGCCCGGTTCGAACAAGCGGCCATTGAAAACATCTTTGGATTCAGCATAGCCAGTAACACTACAAGGGTTGATAGAAAAGAAAAGGCTGAACATATAACATGAAAACTCATGAGGCAGAAAGAGGCTGAGGAGCGGGGAAAAGAATGGTCGGGCATATAAATCAACCAAAGCGGAGAACGTAATATGACTCTGCGTGGAGCGGGACAAGGGGCTGACTCAATGAGGAACGGGGAAACACGGGGCAAAGGGACGAGATGACTCAAGGAGTAAGCGGAAAAGACAATAAGGGTAATAAATCTCGATGAAGCGGGCGGAGAAGGGGCAGAAAACAAATCAGTAGCGGGAGCGGGCAAAGTAACCGGCATCAAAGTAGAATAGTATAAAAGGAGGACCGCGTTATAGGAGAATCCATCTACTTTTCCCCCAATCTAAAAGTCTCCCTTAAAACCCTACTCTACGGGAACAACCCATCCCCGAAGAGTCATTAGGGGGAAGAAAGGTCACCAAGTCCGTTTGTACCAATCAATTCACGCGAACTTGGTTATTTCCGCTCGCTGCTCGGAAAACAATATAATCAGCCACCTCGACTCGACCTTTTCAAATCGACACACGGTTACGCCTCCTCCGTATTGAACGGAGCAGTATTATCCCGCTCAAACAGCATACTTGAACAGCCAGCCAGAGCCTAAGCAGCGGCGTGTAACTGTTTCATCCCCACGGCGTGAACATTTGTTAAAGGGCGGAGCGGAGAAATACTCTGTAGAGGTTTATTAGAGATGCAGTACGGTGGAAAGGAAGGAGCGGGAAGCACATTCTTGTTGAAAACTCTGTTCGGCGCTTGGGCTCCCAGAAGAAAGACAGGTGGAGAACATTGGACGGAGCACTTAATTTAAACAAATCAAATAACCCGCACGTTGCATAGCAAAGGCTCTTCGCATCGCATCTGGAAAGCCGTCCTTACTCGGCAGGAGTGTAGAACGAATCCCCACTAGCACTCGTAGGAAGGCTGGTCAACGTTAAATATGTAGTCTAGCGAAGCTTGCAGCACAACAAATTGTTGCGCTTATCTCATCGACCAGGCAACTTTTCTGCTCGAGAGGGCAACTCCGCGATCAATTATTTCCCCCTGAGGACAAACACCCTCTGATCGGTCTTTCCTCGTCTGAACAATTCAGGCAGTTCACCTTTCGAAGGCAGAGTCGACATCACACCGTGCGATTGATACTACTCCTCGGCGAGCGCACCAGTTACTAGCTTTGAGTCAAATCCCGGCTGGGATATTTCACCCCGGGTTCTTGTCAAGCCGACCTAGGCTGTTGCTGACATATAGCTGAGGTGCTTGCACAGTTGGTGTGTTAATCCTATCCTATTTATGTGTCAATTTCCGATATGAGGTCTTCCTCTAGGATCTCGTGTCATTGTACTGCAGCTCCTGGAGCAAAACTCTCAATCCCAAGCTCCTGGATCCAGCCACTGCCAATCTTGTCATCCCTGGCGAATCCTTAAATGTGCTCTGCATCTTGTCTGTTTTTAAAGTGGAATATGGATTCAAGGGCGATGATTCTGTTGACCTCCGCCTTCACTATGGCAAGATGCTCCTTCGTACCCACAAGCAGGCGCAAAAGGAACCACCACTCGTCAACAGAGGGTAGTGTTGTCAACAGTGGAACCTTCCCCACGGAACTCCGCGAATGAGTGGAAGTTGATGCAGGCTCAAAACCTGTCGCCTGCCTAGCTCAATCGGATAGAGCGTCAGACTCTTATGAGGCGGGTCATCTGAAGGCTGCGAGTTCGACCCTCGCGGTGGGCTAATGTCTCCTTTTTGTATTTGTTTCTTAGACATTCACATTCGCCGTTACAGTACTATCCGCCCACCTGGTTGAAATTTCACTGCGGTTATTTTTTTTGAGTGTCAGCGCATTAAAAAATCTCTTGCCAATGTAAGGTACCCCCGGTCACCACCAATAGGTGTGTCCGCCGAGGTGGACAGATTTACTCTATGAAATTTGGGCTTTAAACCTCAGATTTACTTCATCGCGGACCGATCAAAAAAAATTCCCGCGGTATTTTTTTCCGCTTTTCCCTCTCTTGGTCTTTTCCGCTCTACTTCCTACCCTTTACAAAAGTTTTGGACCCGATCGGTGGATGGAAGCAGCGCTGTTTGAGGCTGTAATTTCTGGTAGGGTGCGTTCTTTCTTCAAAAAATCCCTGACTGTGCCAGATTTACGATTTACGTTATTTCGGTCCGACTTGGCTCGTTCACACTTATATTTCGGACCCAAAAACGCGATTTTCGCGCTCAGAATTACTCTATTCCGGACCGACCTAGTAGGTAGTGCCTCCAATGCAGCAGCCAAAGGCCTGAATAATTCGAGAATCAAAATGATCTTCGGCAAAGATGATCACGTGGTCTATTAAAGCTTTCCTCTCGCGCGACGTGTACCATGAACCTGTCGCTGTACAGCGTCAATGCCTTTCTCATTCTGGACACGGAGGGCACCCGTGTGCTCGCAAAGTACTACCGACCGAAGAGCCACCCGCTGGGCGAGTCGAAAGAGTTTCTGACGTTGAAAGAGCAAAAGGCATTTGAAAAGGGACTATGGCAAAAGACGAAGAAGCCGGGAGGTGCGCGCGTTTGTTGCCCTACTCCCTGAACTGCGCTTGAGCGCACAGGGTCTACTTTGCCCAGAAGATGCTAACGTTTCGTAGGCGATATCATCCTGTACGACGGACACTTGGCGGTATATAAGCACTCGCTGGACCTGATCATGTACTTTATTGCGGGCCCATCGGAAAACGAGCTAATGCTGTCGACGGCGCTGAATAATTTTGTCGACGCGTTGACGCTGCTGTTGCGGAACCAGATTGAGAAGCGCGGCGTGCTGGAGAGCCTCGACTTGGTCCTGCTGTGTCTAGACGAGACTATCGACGATGGGTGCGCTTCGTATCCCGTCCCACGTAACATTTTCCATGCTCAACTTTTCGTCAAGAATTATTGTAGACACGGACCCCGCTGCGATTGCATCGCGTGTGAGCCGGCCGCGACCAGACACGACAGAGATTATCATCAACGAGCAGACGCTCTTGAGCGCGTACCAAACGGTGAAAGAGAAGATGGCCCAGAGAATAGGGCAGTTGTAGTAGAGTCGTTATAATTTTCGGAATAAAATACGGGGCCACATATGGCTTACACTCAACCACATTCGCGCGTGTCGGTGCTCTCGAACTCGTCTCAGTCTTCGGTGGAGCACCTCTCCCCGGCGGCGTCCTCGACGCGGTTTTCGCTGCCGTCGATCCCCACGACACCGAACGCGCAGAACAAGCCCGCTGGGGTGCGCCCAAACATCTATGACCGAAACCTGAACAAGACGCGGATAACCGAGGTTTCTGGGGCCGCCTTCACATTCCTGTTCTCTGAGATTGTGCAGTACACGCAGAAGCGGGTGAGCGGTATCAACGACCTCGAGCGGCGGCTGAACACGTTGGGCTACCGCATCGGCACCCGTGTCCTCGAGCTCATGGTCTGGCGCGCAGAGTCCGCCTCCAAAGCCCCCAAGCGCGAGATCCGCTTCCTCCCTGCTCTCATGTCCATCCACACTCAGGTCTGGCGCGCCGTCTTTGGCAAGCCCGCAGACGCCATCGAGAAGAGTGTCGAGAACGCGGACGAGTACATGATCATCGACAACGACCCCCTCATCGAGCGCTACATCTCTGTTCCAAAGGACATGAGCCAGCTCAGCTGTTCCTCCTTTACGGCTGGCATTGTAGAGGCTGTACTCGACGGCCTGGGATTCGTGAGTTTTCCTCTTTCTAATGTGGCTCATCAGCTCACTCCGTCTAGCCCGCGCGCGTCACAGCGCACAACACGCCGACGACGCAATTCCCTTCCCGCACTACCATTCTCATCAAGCTCGAGAAGTCTGTGCTGGAGCGTGAAGAGGTGCTGAAGTGAGAGCGCATTTAGGAGGCGCGTTCCGTTCTGCACGACTCCCATCCGTATATTACACCTAGGGCCGCACGCCAGCCGTAGTTATATTCTAAATTAACAGTCCGTGAGGCGGTCGCGCGCTACACTAGAAGAGCCCCAACAAATCCTCCTGTGGGTGCTGACCTTGCGTTGGTGAGACCGTTGGCGCGGACATTGGCATGGGCGGCGACTGCGCTGGCGGTGCGGGAGAACCAAACGCACTCCCCCCAAATGCACTCCCTCCGAAAGCACTCATTGGGCTTGCTCCCATACCCATATTCGCTCCACCAAAGATTGAGACGAGGTCGTCGAGCGGGTTCTCGGACAGTCCTGAAGCGAGCTTGCGCGCTGCAGGTTGTACGAGCACCTCTGTTGCTGCCAGCCCTGAAGGTGCGTCGCCTGCAAGGTCGTCGCCAAAGTCCCTGCAGTAAGGGCGTTGTGAGGCGAGTCACAAATGAGAACAGATGAGCCTTACAGTAGATTCTCCGCCTGCTGGCCCATGGCGACAGTCTGCAGCGCTTTCTGCGTCGAGAAGGGGTCGCTGCGCAACGTCAGAGTTATACCAACGACCAAAGAAAAATGGACTTACTCCCCCTCTCCGCCCTTGCGCACTGAATCCGCACCAACCCGCCCCCGCCCCACAAACGTCTCCTGCGGCTTGTGGTACACGCTTGCAAGACTCGAGATCTCGCCCAGCAACTCCTCGAGCAGCCCCGGCGCCACTGTCGTTCGCGGGATCGATATTGGCGGGCGATGGGCAAGCACAACGGCCTTATATGTCTTCTTAGAATTCATCGAGGATTTGGGCTGCATACACGCACCTTTGCGGCCCCCGGATCCGTGGACAATAACCGCCAGTAAATGTACGCGCGATCACGAACATCAGGCGAGTCGCAGTCTTTTGTTGCCGTATTCAACACCCGCTGGACGACGCCCTGTGACGAGTCGGGCTTTTTCAGGAACAGTTTGACCACGGCGGTGAGCGTCTGCAGCTGGACCGAATGTGATTCTTCCACGAACGTGTCGACAAAGATGCCGAGCAGCTCGTCGGCATTGTCGATCTTGTTTGCGTACTCGCCGATGATCCAAATGAGCGACGCCTTGGCCTCGGGTTCGTCCAGCTCGTCGAGGTTGGCGCACAAAGTAGGGATAACGCCCTCATACGTCGAGGGGTATTTGCGGAAAATGTCCTGGTGGGGATTAGTTTCTGTGGTGGGCATGGGAACGGGAAGGAATCGCGCAAACCTTCATTACGACCACGGCCTCTTGCACGACATAGCTGACGCGCGTCCCAATGAGGTCCAGGAGAACATTGACGCATCGCTCCGCCGCCGCGTCGATTTTTACTGCCGTCTGACCGATCGCCTTGATGCTTTTGCGCACAAAGTCAACGTCGACCTCTGATGCATACCTGATAGTCGATAAGAGAAGGCTCTCAAGAGGAATCGAAAGACCGAGACATACTCCTTGAGCTCGCTGAGCAGGGCATCGACATTGTTCTCGCCAGCGAGGCGGACCATGATGTCGAGTTTCTCGATCTTGACATACAGCGGGTCGTTGTACTTGCAAAAGAACACGCGCATCTCGTTGGCGAGGATCTCTGGGCGTTTCTGCAACAAGAGGTTTATGTTGCGCAGCGCGACCCATTGGACCTCGGGTGGCGATGACAGCAGCGTCACAAGCGGCGGCGCCATCTTACGCACGAGCTGCTTGACGAGGTCCTCGCGCTTGACGCCACGGATATGGATCATTATCACCTGTCGGGCGCATGAGTTGTGCGCAGCAGCACGACGTGGCACGAAAGCTAGCGCACCTTGACGGCTGCGAGGACTACGCTGCCGTTGGCGTGTTGGAACTGCGGCACGACGCGCTCGCAGATGTGGTCGCTCTCCTTTTCGTCCTGGGCGACGTAGCGCGCGAGCGCGTTTAATATCGCGACGCGTCCCCACTCGGAGCACTCGTTGAGCGCGATCAGGAGCTTGTTGAGGATGGCCGCGGAGATGACGAAGAGGGCAGGGTCGGGGGTCGACTCGGAGGGCATCGCGGACGCGGCGATGTGGATGTCCGTCAGCGCGGCGACGGTGTTGGCCACGACCTGTGCACGCAAATTGTCAGTCCAATAAATGCGCAGTCAGACCGTCCAACTCGCCATTGGATTGCTGTCCGCAATCATGTCGTGCAGCTGCTCCAAGAAGCCGTTCTCCAACACAAGTTCGGGCTTGAGATCATACAGCTTGGCGACACATAAGGCGGCGGTCTTGCGCACATACGGGTTCTCGTCGCGGAGGCACTTTTGGAGCGGGTCGCAGAGATAGTCGATGATCTTTTCCGCGCGGAGGACGCCCATGGTGCGGATCGCGAGCGCGCGCACGAGCGGGTTTGGGTCATCGGTGTCCTTGACAAAGGTGTTTACGGCGAGAATGACGAGCTCGGGCTGCGTCTTGGCATAGTTCATGAGATAGAGGTAGACGAGCTGGAATCCCATCTCTTCAGCAGGGTAATTAGTATGATAATGTGGTAGTGCGGACCTTCTTTTGCTCGAGGTCGTCCGTCTGCACACGAGGTCAAACGGACGCTCAAGAACAGTGCGGATGGCGCACCTGCATGTTCTGGTTTCGGAACCAGGGTCAAACGGACGCTCAAAGAGAAGCAGGGACGGCGCACGAACCTTGAGGACATCGGGGAATAGGCCGCTGACATCTGTGCATGTTATTACACGCCGACGTGGGCGCAGCGAAACGCACCTTTGCCGACAGTCATGGACGCGATGGTGCGTTTAATGGCATCCTTGCGCTTCTCGGGCCAGCCGCTGTTGAGGTCTATCGAGAGTTCATAATTTTCGC